TTTAGCTTTTTAAACAACAACAATAAAACTAAAAGAAAAAAACCTCTTGATGAAATTACTTCTAATTCTCAACAAAATAAACAATTCAATAGTTTTGGAAAAGATGCTTATGATAACATCAATAAGATAATTACTAAGCATAGATTAACTAATTCAATAAATCAACAAATTGTATATGTTTGTAACATTGAGCTTGAATATAATGGAAATCAAGTTTTTATTAAATTTAATCCAACAACTAATCAAGCCAGGCTTGATGCAGTGGTTTGTGCATGTGATAAAGCATTACTAGATCATGATGGATATCTTAATTTAGCTGCTGTTGTTCCTAATATTTATCATGAATATTTAGTAGCAGAAAGAAGAAATGAAATTAATGAAATTATAAATTCTCAGATTCATATAAAAACATTCAATACTAATAATGAATCATGTGAACAATATACAGATGAAGATGATTTTGATAAAATAAATAGTAATATTTTGGTTGAAGATGTAGAAGTAGGAAATGGAGTTTTTCGTTCCATTTCAACTTTACTTAAAGTATTGATACCATTTTGGAAATCAGGTGAAAAACCAGTAATTACTGTAGGTGATACACTTCGTATAAAACTTGGTGGTGATTATACATGAAGTCGAAACTATTTTGACCATTTGCAGATCTGGTCGAAATAGGGTCGAAACTGATTTTTACTATGTAGTTGCCTCAAGTCGAAGCATTTCAACTTTAGGGTTTTAATTTCGACTTCATGTATAGTGGTGATGGCAGGAATGTGGGAAGAAAAAAAAATTATGTGTTGTTGACTTTTTGTTTATTAAATGAAGGTAATGAAGTACTAAAACCAGAACATCAATTCAGGTACATTATATATATATACTGTATATATATATATATTATTTCTAATGAAACAAAATTAGATTAACCAATTTATTAAATTTATTGTTAGTATATGTCTTTATATAGGCAAAGAAAAATATGAAACATTAGCAACAGTTTGTAAAATATTTGATTCACAAATAACTTCTCTTAAAGCTCATGGTATTATTGATAATGACAATATACACTGGCCAGTTGAATTTTACTTCTCTGATGATTGGAAATTTACATCAATTATTATGAGTTTAAATGCACCAAATTCAACATATTTCTGCTTATATTGTGAGTGTAATACCAAATAAAGACTAGTGCCATTAATTATGAAGATGGTAGTAATTGTATTTACGGCATATAAAAAGTGGTTGCAATTACCTTTGTGACCACTTCTGCAACCATACTTTTTCCTTTTTTGGATTACAGCACTAGTCTTTAATTCCAAGACCAGATATAATATGGATCTTTCTTGGCCAATTACAGAAATAATAAAGGTGAAATCATATTTGTGGTTTTTTTTCTTATTTATGGAAAATAAAATATAATAATTTATTTATATAATCAGGGAAGAAAAATCCTTCATTGTTCACTTCAATTGAATTACTTAATTATGTACCTGATGAACTACGTATTTTATTGCAAATAACAGATGTATTAATGGAGTGTTTGTTCAAAGATCTGTTTAAAATATTTTTAATGGCCCAACTTAAAGCAATAGATGGTGGATCAATAAGCACTAGCAGATACCTTAAAAAGAAAACCAGATTTAAAAAAAATAATTTTGAAAGAGAATTAAAAAAAAAAATAGAGAAAAAAATGAGTCATATAAATGTTCATTTTGAGTTTTATCATAGTAATAATAATAGAAGTGCTTCTTGGACTTGGACATCTTTAATGGGACCTGAAAAAAAGAAAATTCTTCAGAGTTTTCCTATGAGTGAATTTGTGACTGGAAGTCATGGAATTGCTATAGAAAATTTATGGTATCAATTTTTTAATTTGTATGAAATGTTAAGGAAACCATCATACAATGAAGAAGATATAATCAAATTTGAACTTGAAGCCAAGAACTGGGTGAGATCTTTTTGTCAACCTACATTAGGCATAACAAATTCTACATCAGCAATTCCAGGGCTTTATAGAAAGGAGGATGTTACTTCATATATGCATATTCTTACAATGCATGTGCCTTTTTTTTTGCATAAATTAAACAACCAAGGTCTTTCATTTAGATTATTTTCAACAAGTAGCATTGAAAAAAAAATTTATGAACAAGTATATATTTCATTTTTAAAATTGTAGCTTTTAGGCTCTTTAATAATATTTTTTTTAATAATTCTTTTATAATATTTTTTTACCAATTTTATCAGGTCAAGTTGTTTTTTGGTGGCACTACAATGAGAGGTGGTAACAAAACAAAGTCTGTTGTTTATGATATGATGGTATTTGAAAATAGGCAAATATTTTATTTGCTTAATAAAGTTCCAAAAGAAATTACA